ACTATAAATATATATAATGAATCTTATAATAGTAAAACTTACTAATAATTATAAAAAGAAAGTTAATTTATCTATAATTATTAAAAAATTAAAATTTAATATATAATATATATTTGATATTAATATATAAGTTCTTAATATTTAATATTATAATCTTATATTCTGTAAATTATAACTTTATTATACTAATTTTACTATTAACTAATATAATAATTTCATAATATTTAATTATAGCAACAAAATAATCAAATTTAATATTAGTAGATATAAACTTGCATTAAATTATAATTTACTTTATATATCTTATTAATAATTTACTAAATTTTTATCTGATATTAAGTTTTTTATAGTCTGTACTATAATAAAAGAAGTATATTAAGAAGCATTAACTTTATATAAAGTTATTCAGTTAATTAAAAAATTTATCAATATATTTTTCAACTCTCTTTCTAATGAACTGTTATCAAAATAAATTATTAATTATATTATTAATTTAATATCTGATTCTGAATTACTATCTTATTCTATTTATTACTTGTTTTATATTAAAATAAATAAATTAAAAAAATAACTATCTGATTTACTTAGCAAAGATTTTATTTACCTAAGTCTCTTATTATTTGAAGTATCTATTTTATTTATATATAAAAAGAAAAAACTCTTCAACTTTATATAAATTATTATGTATTAAATAAAATCATAATTAAAAATTATTACTCTCTATCTCAAGTAGATAAATTAATAAATTAACTCACTAATATATAATACTTCTTGAAACTGAATTTTCATTTTAAATATTATCAAATTTAAATCAAAAAAGATAATATTTATAAAATTATATTTAGAACTGGATATAGTTATCATAAATTTTTTATTCTATTATTTAGTCTTACAAATATATTTATCACTTTTATAATATTTTTATAACTCTTATAAATAATATTTTTTATAACTATTTAGATAAATTCATTATAATTTATCTTGATAATATTCTTATATTTAGTAATATTAAAGAAGAATATCTTAATTATCTTCATATAATTCTTTCTAAACTTTATAAGTATAAACTTTATGTCAAGTTAAAGAAATATAAACTTATTAATAATATTTAGATCACTTTATCTTGAATTAAGAAATTTTAATAGATTAATATAAATTATTATTTAAATATAAATATATTAATAATTATTGAATCAAATTAAATATTTTATAGCTTATCAGATTCACCTTATTAAATAATTATTTTGATAATTTTTTCATTTGAATCTGATCACTGATTATTGAAATACTTGAAAAATATTTATTATTATATATTAAAAATTACTATTGCAAATAGGATTTGCTTATTTAACTTTTCTAAGACTTTTAGATCTGAAGAGAGGGGATTACTTATTTTAGGAGATTGCTTATTATTGGAACTTTATAATATTTTTTAATTGTTAAATTATTAATAATAAAAATATATTGTAAACTTAATAAAGAAGTTAGTTTAGTTAGTAAATATATTATTATTAGTATTGATAGCTTGAATTTTATTTAGAAACTAATATAAAGTAATATCTTTAAATTAAGTAAAAATATATAATATTTATATTTATATATTAGTAATTTTAAGCTATAAAGTTATTTATAACTTATAATATTTAGATATTAATATTTTATATAATTTCTCTTTGTAAATTAAAATCTTTACAGAATTTTTAGCTGATTATTATTATTATTTTCTTGATTTCTATTATTTGTATTATCTCTAATATTTTTAGTATTATTATTAATCACTGTAATAAGTTGTTATTAGATAATAGATTAATAAAATTAGTAATAAATTATAAGAATTTATTTGAATTATCTTTTTTATTTCAAAGTAATTATTATAATAATGATCTTTATATGATAAGTTGCCTTAATATCTTGAATAATAAATATGTGATACTTTGATGAGTTGATTTCTCATTGTTCTCTTTGGATAATAGCTTTTGAGATAATGAAATTTTTTAATTAAAATAAAAGATATAATATACAGTGACTGTCAAAAGTTTTGCATCAGATGAATAAAAAAATAAAAAATGCAATATTTTGTGATTCATATGTTATTTACACATAAAATCAAGTGTATTCAAAAAAGGAGAATCTTAATTATCTTTAAACTTGATATAGATCACAATATATTTATATTCATTATAATTAATTCTTTCTAAAAGTGGTGATGTATTACTTTTGATTAATAATCTATTTAAATGTAAGACTATATAAAATATACAAATTTTATAATGAATCTTATTTTGTATGCTATATAAAAATTATACCTATGAATATAATCTTTCATTTTATTTTAAAAAAATAATAATTAAATCATATGAGTCACATTAATATTGAACAAAGATCATGAATCTCCACCCTTCTTGATGAAGGATTTTCCTCCTATAATATTGTATCAAAAGAAAATGTTGCACAATATTCTGTTATCCATCTTAAAAAAACTTGAAACAACTGGTTCTATAAAAGATTTACCAAAGTTTGATTATCCTCAAATTTTAACTAAGCATGATGAGCATAATATTATATGATTTATTTCAAGTGGTGAATGTTCAAATACTATGGAAATTCAAAAAAAATTAAAAAACAATAATAAAGTTAATATAAGCGACAATACTATAAGAAGAACTTTATGTAGACATGATTTATCTGCAAGAGTTAAATGAAAGAAGCCTTATTTAAGTAAAAAACTACATTTAAAATTTGCAAAAGAACATAAAGATTGGCAAATAGAGGATTGGAATAAGGTCGTTTGGTCAGATGAGTCAAAATTTATGTTATTCGGATCAAATGGTCATGAATATTGGAAATATAAAAATGAACCTCTTAATGACCATCTTGTAAAAGCTACAGTTAAATTTGGTGGTGGTAGTATTATGATTTGGGGTTATTTTTCTTCTTTGGGGGTAGGAAATATTGTACAAATTTATGATACCATGAATCAAGAATTATATCGTGAAATATTAACGGATGACTTATTGGGAACCATCGAGTATAATGAATTGGATAAAAATAATATTAATTTTTATGCAAGATAATGATCCGAAACATGTGGCTAATAAAATGATGGAATGGTTTGATGATAATGGAACTAATGTAATGGAATGGCCGCCTCAATCCCCGATTTAAATCCAATTGAACATCTCTGGAACGAGGTAGATAGGCGTCTGAAACAATTGGACATCCCAATCAATAATCAAGATGATGCTATTCAACAAATTTGAATTACAAATGGATAATGAATTTATAACTCGGCTAATTGAAAGTATGCCCGAGCGAATGGATGATGCAATTAATGCTAAAGGAGGGTATACTTGGTGGTAAAGAATGTTTTGTTTAAAGTTTATTAGATTTTATTTGTTAGTTAGTTGGCAATAGTATTTTAATTTTTATGTTTTAAATCAATCAAAAGAAACGCATTACGTAAAATTGCGTAAATCTCTTGTTTTGTTACGATAATTACCTATTATCCCCTGTATGTTTTTAAGATACGTTAAATTTATGGATCTTCAATGTATGTGCGCAAAGTTATTAAACTTTTAAATTTGTCGTTTGGATGATGCAAAACGTTTGACAGCCACTGTATCTAAATTGATAAAAATTTGAGTAAAGTTTTAGTATAAGGGATAAAGATACTTTATCCAAATTAGGGCAATAGTGTCACAGTGCTAAAGACCTATTTTGCTATTGCTAATTTTCAATTTTCTATAAGAACATATAGAATAGGTAGTAGTCTTTGTTGTAATTTTTCAATTTATCTCCATTTACTAGATTTTTAGAATCTTTTTGTCTTGAGTTCTCATTATTTTTGATATACATGTCAAGTTTACATAGATTAAAGAATTTTTTACAATAATAGTTTGGTATATTACGATATAATAGATCTATCCAGGCTTTAATAATCTCAGTCTTGGGTCAAATACTGCATCAATATGGGATTTATTCCGTATCGATTGAAAAGGATTAATGATAGAAACTTTTTCGTATTCGATCGCATGTGAACTCGAAAGTGATCATAAAGTAGAAGAATCAAATATATATTTGCTTAAAATTTAAACGGATTCACCTCTTTACTCATTTATAATCATAATCTGATGCGGCTATTGGTTCGTTATTTCTCAAAGAAATTACAATCTCAGAAGTTAAAGCTAGACCAAAACTTGAACATAGTATCGGGAATTTAGGTTCTTTGATCAAGTAAAGGCAAACGTATCAACTGATTTGATTGATTTGAGTTTAATGTTTTAGCAAGAAAAAGCGTTGTTAGTATAGAAATGACATTTATAAATACAATCTCCCTCTCTCTCTCTCCAAAATAACACCCAAATAATCACGAATCCTTCTAAATCCACAATTTCCACGTTTCAAATAATTCCGAAATTCCCACATCCACTTACATTATTCCCTTTGGACTACGCGATATCTGTAGATATCGGCACAGGAATTAGAGTTAACCGGCATAATTAGTTTAACTGTTCTCCCAACCCTTGCCACAGCAGAAATCCCTAATTTCACCACAAACGCACTAACTGTGACAGTGCAGTATACTTGTACCCTATGCAATATCAATAAAACAAAAGAAATATGAAAACCACCAGGCGTATATGCTATTTAATAATTTTTTCGTAGATATTGTTACTACATGTATCAACAACGTTAATGTGTAGCCACATTCCATTATTTTGATGATCAATGTACAGTACATGTATATGGAAATACATGTAACAATACCATATGTAAAGTAAAATAGTGAACTATAAACTATTTGCGATTTAATAAATAAAAACGAATTTAAATTCGGTCTTATTTTCAGATTTTTTGTTTTTTTTGAAAACTTAAGAGAATCTCGAATATGCATTTTCATATCTGTATTTAATAAAAACTAGTAATGAAAAATTAACATATTTCGAAACAATTGATCACATTTTATATATAGTAATATACTAATTTCTTCAAATTTTTCCTTAACAAACAAAAAGTAAAGCATTAGTCGTATTTTTTGGATACTCTGCGACATTTTTCAATACACCTTTTGTAGCCATATCCTTAACGGTTTGCTGCATTTCCGCAGGCGATTTATTTCCGTATTGACTAATCAATAGAGCAACAACACCTGCGACGTGTGGTGCAGCCATACTAGTACCGGACATAATTCGTACAGGCATCTCTTCGATTTTGTTCCATGTAGACGTTATATTTTGGCCTGAAATGAGAACAAAAGGAAATTTCTTCATTAGACCAAAAATATAAAAATAAAGGTTGATTGGCTAATTTGTGTGTATGTTTACCTGGGGCAAAAACATCTACACAACTACCTCCGTTCGAAAATTGTGCAATATGATCGGTTATATTCGTCGCGCCTACTGTAATTGCTTCTGGAGCCGAAGCTGGAGAAAAATTACATGCGTTCGCTTTTGCGTAGTTTCCGGCTGCGACTACAACATGTATGCCTAATTCTGTTAACGCCTTAATTGCTTGATTTGCAGGTAAGAAGTAGTTTCCTGTTAATGAAAGACTAAATAAAGATAAAGAACGTTAGAAACTATTCTATCTAATATAAAACAGAAGAAATATTTAGAAATTTACTTGACGATTGTTTTTTGCATTTTATCGCTTTTGTGTCTTACTGCGATCCAATCCATCGCTGCGATCACGTCACTCCATGCTCCGCTACCAGTACGTGAGAGAGCTTTCACTGCAATTACTGTCGCTACTTTCGCCACGCCGTATACTCTTCCTATATAGATAAAGAAAAAGCTAAAGTATAAATTTCTAAAAATGTAATTGAAAAATATACCTGCTATGACTCCAGCTACATGAGTGCCGTGGCTATTACAATAAAAAAAGAATCCTTTTTTTAGTAATAAATCATATAAATATCATAATAAATGATTTAACCATTACCCATAATCATCAAAATCAGGTGCATCTTTGCGTGTTGTTGTACCCCAGACTGCGCGCCCTTCAAAGTCTGGATTAAGCGTATTTATTCCACTAATTTTTGAAAATGATTAAATATTATAATTAACAACATAAAGGGGTATATTCGATATAAAATAATTAACTCACGTATCAATAACATAAACTTTTACTCGACGACCACCGGTCACCGGAGATTCATAAATATTATCAAGTGGCAGATTACGTTGATCGATTCGATCCAAGTTCTAGTAAACGAAAAATTTAATATTTATGTAAATAAGAAAGATATAAAGATGATTGAGTTTTTACCCAAGGAGGATTCTCTTGAATTCGAGTACCAAATTCCTCTTTAGTTTCGCCGTTGATTTTTTCATGGTAGCATACATAATCTTCATTTTCCAATGCGACATGAACTTGATCATCTTTCGTGACATACGCGACTTCTTCGCGTTGATTTAATATTTCGACGAATTCAGGATCAAATTCGCCAACATAACCGCGAAAATTATCGCCAATCGAAAAATAATGAATTGTATTGTTGTCAGATTTTTTATTTGTGTTGACCAATTTAATGTGGTTGTTGTTTCGTCTAATTTTGTTGTTAGTATAGGAAAATTCTGCATGACTTTTGATTACATGTTTATTATATTTTTTAATGATCCATGCAAAATGCAATTCGTGATTTGGTAATGGTTGTGGAGATGAGTGATTATTATTGAAAATTATAACATAACGTTGGTTATTTGAACTAACTGAGATCAAAAGTGCTAACAAACTTAGGATAATAAGGATCTCAAAATTGTTTTGATTATGAATTCTCATATTTAATGGGGAAGGAAAGAAGAATAAATGCCAATTTGTTTAAGAGAGAAATTGAATATAAAATATAATATTAAAGAAATTATGAATACAAAGCTCTTATTAAATAAAAATTTCATCTGTGTATATTTAGCTTTTATTTGCATTTTATAAGAGGAATTCTGATAAATTATCTCTTCTCTTAAAATATGTGCTAAGACATAAGAAATTTAAAATTAAGTCACTTTAATTAAAGATAAATCACGATTAGTTATTATACGTGAAATTATATTATATTGTTTTAATTGAAAAGATACGCCTTGATCATAATTCATCCTAAAAATAATGATTATTTTATTAGCAAATATCACACCGTAATATAAGATTATCATATCGATACCTTGAATTCTTTTGCTTAGGTAAAACCAGAGCTAAAATTATCTTCTTGACGTCATTACCATTATTAAATTGTAAGCAATGTACTCCGAATGATTAGCGCGTTACATATTTGCGATATATACATTGGGATATGATAAAATTTCCATTTAATTTAGTTACAGTCTAACTTATTTCACTAAAGTTTCATTCTGCTGTCCGTCTACCATATAATAAAGTTTCTAGTTAATGATTATTGATAATTATACTTTAAGCGGTAAATAATCATATTAATCAATTGTTAGAGATTTAAAGATGCTTCGTCAGAGGATCGATCTCAATGATACTGTATTAATTCGTTAGTAAACTTGAAGAAATATGTAATATTTTTTGTACGCACGGAGAGATTCTTTGCCACGCATGTAATCATAAAAAAATTAGTTTAACCATCCAAATACAGTCAGACCTCCCCAAATGCAACTTGCCCGGACCACCCTTTTGATACAGTGCATTTAGTGAACAATAAGAAAACATGTATTTATGAAATTCTCTTGGAAAATGTATATATGATAGACCATACAATGTTGCTTAAAAGATCCTTTTCATTTATAAATCTGAGAAAGAAGCATTTGATAATTGATTTGACTTTATGCCAACTAAATTATGTCACTTGAATATGAAAAAGATATTGAAGATTATTATTTGATTTTTGCTAGAGTAAAAATTTTTTGAAGAAGGATCAAATTTTATCATAGTGACATAAAATTCCTTAATTCTATAATCTTTCTTTGGTTATGTGAAATTCTATTTTTCTATAATTTTATAAATTATCATATAATTATCCTTATTTTTATATCACCTATTTATTTTTCTTTACTATATTTATTTTTATCATACTTTTATTTTTAAATCTTATATCTTATTTCTTTTATTCAAGATCTGTATTTTCAATTTACATATCATACATTTTTTTATATATATAATAAAGTAGTATATTTGAAAATCCTTTTTAATTTTTGATGAAACAATAATATTTTGGATATCATCATTTTGAAGATTAACAAAATATTCACATAAATGTCTACATAAATATTTACATAAATATTTACATAAACATCTATGTAAATGTCTATATAAATATCTACAAAAATATTGATATTTGAAATATTCACATTTTAAATATCAATATTTTCAATATTATAATAATAGATTATAGTTCTTTATAATAATATGTATATTTAGATAGTATTAATTAGTAATATTATAATAATTCATGTATTCAAAAATATATAAAAGAACCTGTTATTTCAACTTAAAATAAATAGTTTTGGATTGAATTGTTTGGAAAATATAATTAAAAAGCTTATTATTATAATAATAATAATCTT